TGTCTCGGTCCATCTTGGACTCCGTCTCGGGTCCATCTTGGACTCCATCTCGGACACTTCCACATGTCATGTGTTAGTCCTTTTTGGGTCCCTTTTTAGAACCTCGCTTATTGCTCACTTTGTGCTCATTCCTCGAGCACTTTATTGAGAGTTCCACTCCCGCTCTCGACCTATCAAGTCGGAGCTTTTAGTCCAAACGTGTTACACTCGTTTGGCTTTCGCTTTAGCCACTACCACGTGGCGCCCTTCCGGCTCCACTTTGGGGCCTAGGGATTTTGTGTCTCACAATGGCATGTGGCATGTGGCATGTAACACATAGCATATGGAGGGTTTAGGTTCCACTTCGTAGTTATCCTATGGTAAAACACCATAGGATAAAGAGTGAAAACCATGTAGTTACTTATAAATTTTTTAATATTATTATAACTTAAGTCTTTAGCCTCACTCTCCTTACTACTTTTATAACCTCCCACAACCCCCTAAGAGACAAGTGCTTTGGGCTTTTACCTTATAACCTATATTAATATTTGGACTCGGTTTTGAATTTGTTCTCATCCTACCCAAACTCTTTATTGTTTCAATTGTGATTTCAGATTTCTCTAGCATATAACATCTTGAAGAGTTTATTCCTTACATTAGACTTGTGTGTGCCTTTTTCTGCTACTCACAACACGGATGAGAAGGGTCTAAAGCTCTAAATAGGTCACTCTTCTTCCCAAAGTAAACTCTCCCAAGGATCCCAATAAGGCATAGAAAGTTTGTTCATTTCTGTAGATTCTTTTGGCTTGAAGCAGCAGTGTTATTTCACTATATATTATAGCCATAGCAAGTTCCAGAGGAAAGCACTGATCAACAAAATGGATGAAGTGATCTGGAGACTTGATAGATTGCAACCTGTTCATTGGATGTAACATCGTTCCAGCAAATGATGGAAAGTCACATTACAAAAATTTCCTGCTTGTCTATCCTATGCATACCTCCGCTTGCACAAGCAAATACCCTGGAACAAACTAGTCAAAAACTTGGGTAGCTTTCAGGAACTCTCTTCCAGCTTTTGCATTGCATGTTGTAGGATCTTTGTCTTAAATGAATTTAATAGGATAAGCAAATGGCACTACAAACTATGGGGAAAAGGAAATTAGCAAGCTCTGGAAGAAACCTTTACTAATGCACACCTATTTGTGCTATTGAACACAAAGAATATCATTGTATTTTCTCTAGAGTTTTCAAAACTGACAAGAAATGTGATTAGCAGCTGTGGTGCATCCCTTATCTCCATCTTCATCAGAAGCTACTCCAGTAGAGTCCCTCAGAGAATGGTTAGAGAAGGAGAAACTTATCAACCAGTTGTGGCATGATGATCTTGCATCTTGCAGAAGAATCAATTCCCTTTCCAGCACTGTCCAACATTTTTGCATACTCCATCATAAATGATAAATGATAATACCATATAAGCAATTGAATCAATCATAGAGTGAATGCCAATAGATTGAGAATTGTGGCAATATGCAGAGAATACAATTGCAGAGGCAGATGTCTCTGGGGAGGAGACCCTGGCATCAAGTAAATTTTGCTCAATCCTTGTGTCTAGATGAGGTAGAGACCCTGCATTTTTGGATATTTTGCTCCAATTTTTGTTATGTGTGTAGGAGAACGGTGCCAGAGTATGGCAAAGGCTATAGGCTGCAGGCACCTCTTCATGTGGACGTGGTCAGTAACTCCCTCTTGAGTTTTATCTTTGTGATGTTTCTTAGCTTTTTCATGAAACTTCATGCTAAGTCTAAATCCATGGTTTGAGTTCTAATGCATACTTTTTCCTTTGGAAACTTCTCTTTTGCATTCTATCATTTAAATAATCCTCCATCCATATGTTATATTATTATAATTAATGTATTACCTAGCCAGGGTAATACATGTATATACATACATATATTGTTTTGGTTTGTTTCCATTTATTATTATTATTATTATTATTATTATTTATTTCTGTTTTTACAGACAGTAAGAGCCGCAGGAGGAAGGTCTCTTTTTCCATATTGATTTTTTCTTTCCACCACAACGGCTTCTTTAAAATATTTAAAAAAGGAACAGCCAGTAGCAACAGAAAATCTGATTGCTCACCCCACAAGCTGCTTTGCAGTGGTCATACTCTGATCATCCATTTCAATCAAGTGCTTATTCTTTGCCCATAACCTTGGTATTTATAGCATCACAATTATGTATAGCAGCAAGATTCCTTTGGTGTGTTTTTTCTTTAGGGGAAAAAAGCGTTCCACCTAAGAGTGATTTCCCATAGACAGAATTAAAAACAAAACGAGTGGAACTACTGCTTTCTTGGCAGCTATTGTCAAGCACTCGTTAAAGGCTTCTCTCCTGTTCTCTTGCAAATTTGTGCATCTGGTAGTCTCGTTTTTAGCTTTCTTCTTGCAATTGTCTTCTGCCTTGGGTAGAGCAGTAATGAGTTGTTTCAGTTGTCCAGCAGACTTGGCAAACTACATTAGCTCATCAAAGGAACCTTTCCATTACATGCTTGGTGCTGTCAATCACTGCTTCTCCGGATCATCTCCAATATTTTTTCCTGCGTTAAGCTTAGATCCTCACGCCCGTGACTGTTATTCAGTCTTCCTTCTGCACGACTCTGGAGCTCGCTGGGAAACACGTTTGATCAGGTATCTGGCGGCAAGCGCCTTGTAGCGGCGCTAGAGGCAGTCGCTGGGGTAGAATCCGAGGCGCTGACCATAGCATTGTTGCTAAAACAAATTTTGCTGAAATGTTTCAACAGTGTCAAACTTTAGCATCCAAATGCCTGTTACATGATGTTTTATGATCATAATAATTTTCATTTCAAAGTCAGGTTTCTTAGCATCCAAATGCCTGTTACATGTTAAAGAGTTTTTCCCTCTGTTAGATGTTTTATGATCATAATAATTCTCATTTCACATTCCAGATCCCAAGCCAAAAATATGAATATTCTAAACACGAACAGAGAATGTGCTTCAAGCACAAAAAAAAAGGGTATAACTTCGCATTTCAAAGCCAATACTTACTTCCAAGGTGGGGACTGCAGTGACAAACGAGGGTGAGATCGAAGAGAAAACGGCAGTAATAAGCAGAATTAACCTTTTCCGGACTGGGAGGGGACTTTGGTCTTGCGGCTGGAGATTGTGATCTGGCACTGTCTACGTTATATGGACCCGGCGATCCTGATCTCGATGACACCATTGTTGTTAAATGGCTCTTCATCCGGCAATCCTCCTCCCTCGTTGTCGGAAGTGGTCCAGTACTGGTAGATCTCATGCTGCAAAAGAGATTTAAAGAAAAGGTTGCTACGTGGTTTTCGCAAACTTACCGGTTCCATGGTGGTACGAAAGGCCGCTTCGAGAGTGGATTGTGAAGTACAAGATCCCTTAAAGTGTGCGGGGAGATCACTGGAAAGTCTGCAGCAAAACAAACCATCAAGCAAGGTTCATAAAAAAAACTGTCTCTGGTGTTTACCAGGATACTCGTCTGCGAAAGCCAAACTTGCTCCTGATTTGAGACTATATCTGTAAGCAAAAGAACAAAAGCAAAGACTTCGGAGCTATTCGTTCGTCTGCGTACCTGGGAGATTTTCGTCCAGCAAGCGCGCGAATGAAACCATTCTCCCCGAGCTCAAGCATCTTATGCCGCATGAGCGCATTCTGCTTTCTCAGACGTGCCATCTCCACGTCTTTCCTCTGTCCACCTGGAGCCTTTAAACAACGACTGTTATGCTCGACAGAACACTTCGAAAAAACACTTTCATTACCGGCTTTTAGAGAGTTCTGGTAAGCCCGAGCTTTGGAACGATCAATCCGCAACACAAGGTAAAACTTGTCTCCCAAAGAGCTAGCCTGCAAAAGGACTTGCCAGGGCCAATGTAAGTCCCAAACCAGCTTGTTATACCGAACGGGTGTCGCCGTCCATGTACAAGAGCGTCCAGAAGCAGCCAGTCTCAGCCCATCTGAGGTTGCAATCCCCAAGCACAACTTCAATCATGTTTACTGCTTTCTGGCTGGAAAGGGGAAAAAAACGAAAGGAGAGTCATCAACCGAATAGCTGCTACATCAAAGCTCAAACACTTACGCAGGTGAAGGAAACACGCAGAAGCACAGCGTTCCCAAACACGCACTTATCGGGCCTGACGTCCAGCTGCATATCACTGGCCTTAGTTCTCGACAAAACAAAAGAAAGAGAGAGTTCTAAGTACCTCGAGAAGATGTGATTGACCATTTTGATCGTGTCCAAGTACTCCTCGGCAGTCACAAAGTCCTCAAGCTTCGCAACCTTGTACAAGTCCGCAGGATCAAACGCACCACCATTGCTACCTGGTACGAACTGCGCGGCTATGACAATGGGATCTTCGATTGCATACTCGTCGTAGTACCCCGAAACTTGAAGCAACTCGGCCTTGAGCCTCTTGGGACCATCTTTCACACCAAACTTTCGGACAAGTTCCCTCATCAAGTATGATGGATGGATGTACTCGATCTCGCTCTTGCAAATCGGGCACCTGGAACAGTCCAACTAGGAGAGAGCTTTAGCTGGAGCTCGATACAAGGTAGAAGAAAAGAAAGAACGAGAGCTTACATCTTTTGGCGTCCCATTTTCCTTCGAAGGCATCGATTGCAAAACACATGCCCGCATTCGATCTCCACCGGATGCTTCAACACCTTGTGGCACACCGGGCAATCGATGAAACTGATGGGCTTCTCCTGCCGCTTCTGGAGCTCTTTCTTCTTCTTCGCCGCATTCTTGTCCTTCTTGTCCTTCTTGCTCTTGGAGGCGCCCTTGTTCAATTCCTCCTTCCTCCTGGATTGCTGCGGCATGACTGGCACTCACCGAGATGGAGGACGATCGTAGCGCTCGCGCTCCCGCATCAAAACACCGTCCTCGCCGCCAAAAGGTTGCAAACACTCTTTTTAGGGCTTCTTGGCGAGGAAGAGACGTGCCACGTCACACTACGCTTTTATGCCACGTCATACAAGAAAAATCTTTGTTACTTCACACATTAACAAGAAGAAATTACTTCCAAGTTTCTTTATCATCGCCTCCATCTCCGTCGTCTCCCCCATCGTCTTCCTTTGGATCATAGTCTTCGTCATCGCCCTCCTCGTCATCGTCCGCCTCTTCCTCCGCGATGCCATCTTCATCCCTGTTTGATCCACCAGTGATACCAGTCACAACAGCATCCAGATCACGCTCACCACCACCACCGCCACCACCACCGCCACCATCGCCACCATTGCCACCATCGCCACCATCCACATCGCCATGGCCATCTTCCTTGGCGGCCTCAAATCCCGCGCCTTCGTTTGCAGCTGGATTCGCAGGAGGAGCTGCCGCTTCTCCTCCTCCTTGGGCTGCTTTTGGATCCGCCTTGAAGATGTTAACTCTGACCCTGTTCTCGCCGAGCATCTCCAGCACGCACACGTCGTTGAGCTGCAAGTTGTGATCCTGCGCAAAGTAGCACCACCCTCCGCTGAAGGCACGCTTTGGAGGGCCGAGCCACCGCACGCCCCACGCCTTGTTCGTCGAGTCCACCATGTCAAACTCCTTGAGATCCTCCGGAAGGTGCACCTTCGCGAATTCGTTCGGAATGCTCTGCGGCAAAACCACGATCGATCGTGTGTCAGTCACGGCAAAGGAGCAGCAAAAGCAGGGAGATGGATGGCTACCAGGTAAAAGCACGGAGCGATGTTGCTCTTCTTCATCACTATCACGGTGCTCGGGTTGCTCGTCTTGAATGCCACCGCTTGTGCGAGAGCTGCCGAGTCTGCCGCAGGAACAACCTGCTTCTTTCCCCTGGAGCTCGATGATTTCCTCGCAGAACTCGTCTTCCTCCTCTCTCGCGTCTTCTTCTCGGCTGTTCCAGTCTTGGTCTCGGCTGTTCCCGACTTGGCCACCTTCTTCCTCTCTCTCGGAGTGTCATCCTGCTTCGCTGCAGGGAGAGTGGAAGTGGAATCCACACGCACCTCCAGAGCCGTGATCTTGCTCACCACCTTGCTCTTCCTCCTGCTGGGCCGCCCTTTGCTGCCACTACCCGACTCTAGCGAGCGCCTGGTGGAAGCTCGCGTTACCTCCCTCCTCTTGGATGGCTCGGTCCTGGCCCTCTTGGCAGGAGGAGCCTCCTCCTCGGCGTCCGACTCCGACACCGGCAGTGGTTGCTTCTTCTTCTTCCTCGACTCCACTCGCGCCACCGCCGCTGGGGGTGGGGCGGTCTTGGGCGACGACCTCGTCCTGGCGGACGGTCCATTCCCAATCCCCGCGGCCTTGACGATCTTGCGAGGAGTGGAAGGCTCCGCGACCTCGACGTCGACCACTCTGGGAACCTTGGAGATGACGAACTTTAGGCTCGACTCCTCATCCAGATGGACGACGCACTCCTTGATCACCTTCTCCATGGCCTCCGCCAGGGCATTTCCTCCGGAGGTGGAGCTCTTGGCTCCTCCTCCCGGCTTGGCGGATCCATCGCTGCTGTAGAGCTCCACGGAGAAGCGCCTGGCCGACTGGTGGTGGAAGACGAGCGAGTCGTTCTCCTTGATCGCGTTGTCGAGGCAGAACTGCTTCCATCCTGTGGTGAATGATCCGGAGCCCACCTCCACTTGCCAGTCGCTGCCTCCCAGCTCCAAGATCACGGTGCCCCGCAGAGCGCCAGTGGAGTACTTCTCGTACACTGGCTTGGGAATTGGCTGATCGATCACAACGAGAATTAGAGGGAAAAGAAGGAGATGGGGATTACCATTTCGGCCATGTGTGCCTTCTTCATGATCTTCGTGAAGGAGATCCTGCTGTTGGTCGCGGCCATCGCCAGTAGCTCCAAACAAAGCCCTCTCTAACCCTAGAAGAATCCCATGAGCTTAGCTTTGATCTACGGCCTGGATTTCTTAATGGTTTATGCCACGTCGGCCATCCTCTTGGCTCCTTCTGTGGCGCCAGTTTTGCTCTTCTTCTTCCAATGCTGCTGCGCTCGATGGCACAGGCGAGGCAAATCTCGCGCGCCTGGTGAAAGCGGCCGGGAATTCCAGGGATTTGTTCCAGGGGAAGCGTGCCCATGCGCTCATCGGCGGGGATCCAAAGCGATACCTGGCGCATCTCCTGGTGGAGATGTATGGCAAGTGTGGCAGTGTGGGTAATGCGGTCTTGGTCTTCCATCAGATCAAGGACCCCAATCTCTTCTCGTGGACGATTCTCATCAAAGCGTATGCCCTCAATGGGCATCTTGAGGAAGCCTGGAGTGTTTTCATCAGGATGCCACAAAGGGACGTTGTTGTGTGGACAGTCATGGTACAGGAGTACGCCAACAAATCCTTTCTTGTAGAAGCGACCGCGGTGCTGAGAAAGATGCCGGAGCACGACCCAGTTGCTTGGACTCCTTTGATTTCTGCAAATGCCCACAAGGGGGATTACACGGAGTCTCGCGGCCTGTTTGAATCTATGCCGCAGCGCACCGTCGTCTCGTGGAACGCTCTCATTCAAGCTTACGCACACAGTGGGAATCTTGGAGAGGCGAAGCAAGTCTTTGAGAGGATGCCTTCGCGTGATGCTGCGTCTCACAACACCCTGGTCGCGGCCTTTGCGGAAAACGGAGACTTGCAGGAGGCCAGGCGAGTGTTCCATTCCATTCCTCACAGAGATAGTGTCTCGTGGAATGCGATGATCCAGGGGTGCGCTTGTAACAAGCTTCTCGAGGAGGCCAGGGACTTGTTCGAGCGGATGCGTGAGAAGTCTGTGGTGACTTGGAACGTGATGATCACCGGGTATGCCGAGTGTGGCGATCTCCAGCGAGCGCTGGAGCTGTTTGAAAAGGCCGAGGTTCGGAATACTGTGACTTGGAACGCAATGATCGTCTCTCTTCCAGGAAAGATAAGCCACTCGGCTTCTTTTTTCAAAAGGATGCCAAACAGGAACGCAAGCTCCTGGAACGCGCTCATCCAGGCCTATGTTTTCAACGAGAAGCTGGTTGAGGCCAGGCAAGTCTTTGAGAAAATGCCGCATTTTCATGTCGTTTCTTACAACTTTATAATCTCTTCGTATGCACAGGTTGGGAACTTGGAGCAAGCAAAGCTTCTCTTTGATCGCATGGAACACCCGGACATTGTTTCCATGAATGCCATGCTGGCTGCCTACGCGGTGGAAGATCAGATTGGTGACGCAAAAAAGCTTTTTGACGCGATGGCGCTGAGGGACTTCATCTCTTGGAACTCGCTCATGAACGCCTACACAAACGTTGGAGACTTGGAGCTAGCAAAGGTGGTTTTCAAGAGGATGGCGCAGCATACGAGCGTGTCGTGGAACACCATGTCCGCGGCCTATGGATTCGGAGGATCATCACTTGCGGAAGCCAAGTTTATGTTCGACAACTCGCCGGAGCAAACAGTGATCTCGTGGACGATCATGATGGCCGTGTATGCTTACCACGGTCAGCTGACTATGGCTAGAGACATATTCGATGGTTTCCCGAACGAGAAGAACGCGGTTACGTGGTCAGTCATGGTAACGTCTTACGCCCAAGCCGGAAAGATGGAGCACGCTAGAGATCTATTCAACAGGTGTCCAACGAAGAGTTTGCTGTTGTGGAACTTGATGATCCAAGCTTACGCACAAGATGGACACTGCCGTCAGGCGCTCGAGATTTTTCACGTGATGAACTTGGAGAGCTGCCCGACTCCGGATGAAGCAACGTTGCAGATAGTTCTTGCCGCTTGCAGCTACGAAGGCTACGTTGATGGAGGGAGGGACTGCTTCATTTCAATGCAGCAGGATCACGGGCTGGTCCCAGAGGTGGAACACTTCTGCTGCATTGCCGATTGTCTGGGACGAGCCGGGCTGCTAGTGCAAGCCGAGATGCTGATACGAAGCATGCCGTGCCTACCAAACTCCGCCGCCTGGACGTCACTGCTGGGTTCTTGCAACCTCCATGGCGACGTTCAGCTCGGAGCCAGCATCATGGACAACTTTTTAGAGCTCGAGGAGACGGCAGCTCCATACATTCTTCTGTCTAACATCTATGCCACAAATCCTCGTTCTCTGAACATAGAGAGCCGTATCAGTTGGATGCCGAAGAAATGGCAGCAACGAAGTTGGCCGTGATGTGTTTGGCCATCCTCCAGACCTGGATAGTGAGCTGTCTTCTCTGACACTGGTGATAAGATTGTTGGTAAGGAGAAATTGTGGGCTATGACAATTTTTGTGGAATGAAAAGGATCCTTTCGGATGGTCTCTCAGCTTCTTGGACACGCTGGTTGATCCACATGATGGGAGCTCATGAACAATGAATCAGTGTTAGCACATGCCTACATTCTTACGGACTACATAATTCCTGAGGGCATTGTTAAAGTTTCATACTTCCAATTTGTGTTTTACCTCATTGCCAATACTGTTAGGATCCTATGGGTGATCATTTGATTTCAAGGCCTTTCCTATTTTATTATCTTGAGCTGGTGTCTAACAATTCTCCCCTATATAGATAATCATCTCTTAGGGTTTATTAAACTTTAGTTCTCCCTTTAGATCCCCTCCTTTTATCCCTTCAAAATATTCTTACTGGTTTGCCATTAGAATCTAACTAAGCTTAATGACAATGTTAGTATTTTATCCTTTACACCTTAAATTAACTGGCTAAAGAAGTGGTCACTTAATTGCACCTTTTCTTATTCTATTATCGTGTTTAACAATTACTACAGCTGTAGAGGGGGGCGAGGAAATGATGGCACTCCAGTGTTTGTATTCATCTGTGATAGAATATGGCCATGCCAACTGAAGCACATGGACTAAGGCCAACCACAAGTGCTGAGGTGGATGATATAGATGTTAATGAGATTGGATGATAAACAGCCATAGCAATTGTCACTACAGTATATTTGAACCCATCAGTCTCATGCTTCTTAGGGCTGCTGTAAGACCTTCTAATAAACAGTATATGGATGAATGAATGAATTATTATTTAGGTTGTTTTCTACATTCTTGCAAGCATTCACTCATTGGCATTTGTTCTAGGTGAAGTTTGTCCTCTCAATATATCTCATGTTCTAGAGATTGATAAACACAAATTGCCTGTATATTTTAGACAAAATACCATCATAGAGCTTGAGAGATTAATTTCTTTTACATGTTATGCAATTACCAAACATATCATAATCTTTATGTGTCATACAATTATTTTGCATGTCATAATCTTTACATGTTATGAAATTCCTAGCAAAATAACCTCCCAACATTAATTATGAATCTATAATCAAAGCCTATTGATATTGTACAATGGAATGATCACATATTGTGGAATTGCTCACTATCAAGCATCCACATTCCACAGCAGGATAGAAACCATGAAGAGATCACTTGAAAATTGCTGAATATCAAGTCCTTGCATTGCCTCTAGAAAAGAAAAGCAAACTAAGACTTTAAAATGACACCTTTATAAATTTTATCCACATGCTAGAGCATCGATCTGCTGGAGAGGCTTTTCATAATAAAGTCTCCATAGAGAGAGTCCTGGTCTTGCTCCTTTGGTCGTTGGGATACTATTCTTGGCTCACTGGGATATTGATCAAGAATAAGATACTAAGGTGGCTATTCTATGGGAGGAATCAATTATTAACTCTTTTATTTTTATGTGCAATAGTTGCAAGAAGTTCCATTTTCAGATTCTGAGCGTTTTTTTTTGCACAACGTTTAGTCTTCCTCATCTCCTCAGTTCCAGGCATTTGCACGATCAATGTACAGCAAGTTTCCTATGTAATTTTCTTAACATGCTTGCAGGTTGTTTGTTGCCACATCAATAAGCTCCCAAGACTTGAGCTTGAGAGATTAGTCCATCTGAAATTTCATAATTAAAGTCCCTCTTCTTCAAATCCATTTTCTCCTTTAAGAAATGTTATAGTGTTGATGTGGGTCTAGAAAGTGCTAACTATAAAAGTAATTCAGTATTAAAGCCAAATATATTTGGTTTGACTTATTATACTTTGTCTTACACTTGCAAGCCTAGTTGAATTGGGAATGGCTGGTTGCCAATTTGGCATCTTTCATGCTGCTAATAATCCAAGCATATCATTATGTTAGGATATTATCCTTTACACCTTATCCCAACTAGTTAAAAGGGATTAATTGATTATAGAGCCTTTTTTTATCCTATTATACTGATTTGGTGCTTAACATGCCTAGGGAATGATCATCCATGATCATACTTAAGCACAATCATAACATTGGTATCATAGCTTGGTTCAAGAATATTTTAAAAGAATATTTGACATAGTGGATTTATAAAGAAAACTGAAGTTTGGTAAATCCTAAAAGGATAGTGGAGGTGGATTAAGAATGATTTGGATTATCATTCCCTAAGCATGAGGTTAGGATAATAGAATAAAAAAGGGCTCTACAATTCATATAGTGTAAGGGATAAGATCCTAAGATTATTTCAATTCTAGTGGTTAGTGAGTGAGGCAAGAATATTTTGAAAGAATATTTAACATGGTGGATCTAGAGGGAGAAATAAAATTTAGTAAACCCTAAAAGAAGTATGGCATAATGGATTTGAAGGGTGGCCTAAGTATGATCATGGATAGTGAGGGGAAGATTTGCTTTAGGGTGTAAGGGATAGAATCTTAACAAAAAGAGCCTATTCAAGGGGTTAGAAGCTTCATGATATAGACTAATTCTAAGAATATTTGACACACGCAAACTCTAGGAATTGGTCAAAGAATTCCAAGAGTGGCTTGGAATTCAAAAAGTGAAAAGATTGAGAAGGGAGTTGTCAATATTTAAATTTTAGTAGAAGGAAATTTTACACTTTTTGCAAGTATGTCTGGAACATAACTCCTCCAAGGCTGAAGACATACTTGTGTTTAGCTGTCCAGGTAACATGTCTAGATCTTGAAGAATTAAATTAGCTCTAGTGGAAGAAATTACTACTGCTCCCTCTTCAGCATTCAATCATGGAGAGCACTCCATGATCACAAATTAGTAACAAAGAGATGCTACTAAATAATTGTCATTATGTTGCAAGAGTACAGAAGCATTGTCACATGTGCTAGATGCCTATTCTTCAATCATCACCATATTATGAATCATCACATGAAGCATTGTGTTTGTCAAACTGTGGGGTGTATTAATAGGATGTGGGTAGTCACATTAACAGTGTATCATATATAGTGTAAATCCTTGTCTTGTATGATGTCCCAGTGGAGTCTCTATTGCTCTTGAATATGTACCATCCTCTAGATCTGGACAGATCTGGGCACCATCATCAATCTGTTAGTGAATTATATTGAAAGAGATTCATTAAGGTTTAAAGATATGGGCATTTTTTTTAATGATTAAGGGTATTAAAAGTAAAAAAGTCTTTACTTTTTGGTTGACTAGATTGTTTTTTAATTGATTAAGGGTCTTCTATAGTGGAAACTGAATTCAAAGTGGACAGATCTATCAATCTCTTCACCTAGCACTAGATTTGACTAGAGTCTAGTGGAATACATCATCGGGGCAGCAAAAAACTCCTCCACTACTTCTTTGACATTGAATTATGGAGAGCAAGATGTTACTAAACAGCTGCCATCTAATGTTACAAGAGCACAGAGACTAATGCTGGTGATGAGATTGGTGGTGGTGTCATAAGAGAAGTCAGACTATGTACCATGGATGAAATGGATTGATCAAGTTATGATAAGAGTACCAACAATGTATGCACTGGAGGTCTGTATGTCAAAGATCCAGGCAATGTTATTATGATCAGGAGCCCATTCGCCAGTGGCCAATTGAGCATGAGTAATGACACATCGTAGAGACTAGCATGTGCTTCTTCCACACATCGTAATCCGCCATTGCCATAGCTGAGCTCTCTCTCCTCCACAAGCTTAATTTAAATTATGGCATATGCTAGGCTCCTTTACTGTGAACCGTCTGTCTCTAGACTGTTGACTGGCAGTGACGGAGCTGAAATTAACTTCATGGAGACTAGTGTATATTATATAAATCATTACGATAAGAACCAGTTGATGACTGGAATGACTATCCCATCAACACCACCAAGGGTGTGGATTGGGTCAGATGGCTAAAAAGACATTGCCAAAACACGAATTTTCCCAGACCTTGATGTCTTGTGGGAGATGAACATCAGTTTTTTTTCTGTTAAAACAAGAGATCAATAGCATGAGCGAAATTTTACGCACCTTGGGTAGAGTATGAAGCGAGAAAAGGTTTGTGTTTTTTACTCTTTTCATGCTGGTTGCGGCGGCATCTTGTTCTCTCGTGCTGTAATCTTCGAAGAAACTGGAAACCTCAACTACTACGTGCTTACACTGCAAGGATGGGACTTCTCTGGAGCCAGAGCTTCCAAATCGTTAAAAGCTTGGAAGGAATCCATATTCGTGGCTAAAAGGTAGGCACTGGTGTTCTTAGTTTTCCTTTACTGAGCTAGCCATAGTTTACTGCTTGCACATGTGGAAGACAAAGTTGAAAACTTGAGTCAGGCACGAGAGCTTTGCAAAGAGCGGCAGCCATTCAGCCAGAAACATTGTGGTCCATCAGAGAGCTCTCATGGAAGCCCCCTGGTGTGCTCCTGGCACTCGTCTATACACTCTCCAGGTTATTAATTTAACTCTTGATGAAAAAACGAACAAAAGAAGTTGGTTAAAGAAGAGGCACCATCGTTCCATCTCCCAGGACATCATTCACTCTCAAAATCTTTTGACTTTTAACACAAAAATCCTAGCACTCATGGAATTTATTCGGTAAAGGTGGAATTCATCAACGAATTCAAGGAATAAGTGTCATGGCTTAGAGTTTGTGAGCTAAAAGTGAAACAATTTGCAAGAGAATGATGTCCCGAGAGTCGGAACAATGACACCTCTTCTCTGAGAACTCAAGGGAGATCTTTGGGGTGTGAGGCTGTGAAGTTTAAAATTTTCAGGCAGTTTATGGTAAATTTGTAGATCTTGGAACGTGCTCATGTTTGGACCTTCGAACTAAACTGGTTTACAAGACGAGAAATTGCGCTATACAATTGCGACGTACTGTGGGCATGTTAATATGGGACGACTACTCACATCCCACAAACACACGAGAGACCATGGCATGATCCACTCAAGAGATTGCCATGATAAATGCAATCCTTGTGTCCCTTGAACAACACTGGATCCGAGTATACTTTGTGCTGATCCTCGTGCTTGCTAGTGTCTTTGCAACAGTTCGGACATGATGGCGATGATTGAAGGAGAGGCATAGTAACATCTCTATTGCTCGTTTGTGATCATGGAGACCCCTGCTCTCCATGATTACATCCCGAAGGGGAAGCAATGGAGGAGTCCCTGATAGTGCACTCAATATGTTCTGCCATCCTCCAGATCTGGACAGTGTGGTCTTCTCCGACACTGGTGATGAGATTGGTGGTGGCGTCCCAGGAGAAGTCGTGGACTATGTCCCAGTGTCCACCGTGGATGAAAAGGAGCTCAGGTGGTCCGTCTTCAGCATCCTCGGCGCTCTGTTCTTCTCCAATCCTGCATTCACGGAGGCCAAGTTAATGTTAAACTATACTTTTTCACAAGACCACCTTTTCACGTCCCAAAGCATGAGCCTGTGATCTTCTGCCGACGTAACCAAGACACTTGGATGGTTGGGACTCCAGTCGACGCGTACAACCGCGGTGTTATCGCACGAACTAGTTGCAAGACAAAATTCATCATAAGGATGATAGGCCAGTGACTCCAATGGGTCTAGGTGAGCACGCACCGCAACCACTGGATTGAAAGGATCTCGTAAGTCCCACGTACGCATCCAGCCTGCTTCGTCCGCGGTACTAAAGATGTTCTCGTGTTTCGCCGCCCAGGTAGCTTCTCGCACTGGAGTTTTGTGCTGCTTCCATCGAAGAAGAACTGTGAGCAAGGATAAAATCTTTTCCAGACGTACCGTGTAAAACGAGATCTACCAGCGCTCACATCCCACACGCATACGAGGCCATCGCGTGATCCACTCACAAGGTTGCCACATCGGAAGGGAGACCACGGTCGCCTTTGGTGTGCCCCTCGAGTAGCATCTCCGGTTGTGCCTGGGAGATCACTTGCGACGGCAGGCCGCCGGAATTCTCGGGCTTAGTGGTGTCGAAGATGCAAACTCGTGACGTTTCGCCCTTGGTGGCGACGATGGAAGGGGTTTGTGGCATGTAGCGAGCTCGATTGACCTGACCTTCTTCATGCTTGATCCATTGAGTCATCTGGACCTATTCCACACACTCACAAGATCTAGAGGTCAAGAGAAGCGGCCTTACCCAGTTCTCATGGATCTCGGCGTCAAGATCGGCTGGGACAGCGAGCTTGACGACGAGGACACAATTCTCGAGACAATCGTGGGGATCATCCAGCGCCTTGGATCCAAGCAAGATCCTCTGGTGACTCCGTAGGATTTCAAATAAAGGCATATCCTAAGGTCCTTTACTGTGAAGCCCATCTAGACCGTTGCCTGTATTGGATTTAAATTTTCGCGGGTAGAGAATCTTCATACGGATTTTCTACTACTAAGTAACTTCTCCAACTTGAGCTTGAAGAAATAAGAGTTTATCAAGACGAGAAATTGCGCTATACATGGTTAATGAGACGAGATCTCACCACACAAGACCATGGCATGATCCGCTCAAGAGATTGCCATGACAAAAGGAAACACGGCCGCCGTCCTTGTGACAGATCGGATGATACTTGAGCTGGTAGGCTGGGAGTAGAGCGAGTGACAGCAGCAGTGCCTTCGTGCTCTTGCAACGTTGACGCTGTTTTAGAGCTCGAGGAGACTGTTGCTCGTTCTCTGATCATGGAGAGGAAGGGATCTCCACCCTGGATGGCGAAGAGCCCTTCATAGTGCGCTTGATGTGTTTTGCCGTCCTCCAGATCTGAACAGTTTGATCTTCTCCGACGCTGGTGATGAGATTGGCGGTGGCGTCCCAGGAGAAGTCGTGGACTATGTCCCAGTGTCCACCGTGGATGAACACGAGCTCGGGTGGTCCGTCTTCGGCATCCTCGGCGCTCTGTTCGTCCCCAATCCTGGATTCACCGAGGACGAGCAAAAAAGTTACTCTATAGATTACTGTTTTTCACAAAGGCCACCTTTGCACGTTCCAAAGCATGACCCTGTGATCTTCTGACGACGTAACCAACACACCCGGATATTTGGGACTCCAGTCGACGCGTACAACCGTATCCCTAGATCAAAATGGATTGATCGAAGAGAGGAACATTATTCGACCAAAGAGATCACTTACCTGTGACCGACGAACGTGTGCATAGGCTGGGAGAGCGCGCGTATGTCGAAGATCCGGGCAGTGTTATCGCACGAACCAGTTGCGAGACAGAATTCGTCATAAGGATGATAGGCCAGTGACTCCAATGGGTCTAAGTGAGCACGCGCCGCAACCACTGGATTGAGAGGATCTCGCAAGTCCCATGTCCGCATCCAGCCTGCTTCATCCCCGGTGCTAAAGACGTTCTCGTGTTTTGACGTCCAGGTAAGGTCTCCCACTGGAGTGTTTTGCTAAGAAAAAAACGAGGAAAAAACTATGAGCAAGCATCAAATATCTTTGCCTCATGAGGTCTACGTACCGGGTAAGTGATAATGGGACGAGACGATGATCCAGCGGCGCCCACATCCCACACGCAAACGAGACCATCGCGTGATCCACTCGCGAGGATGCCACATCCGAAGGGATTCCAGGATAAACCATGGCCACCTTTGGTATGCCCCTCGAGTAGCATCTCCGGCTGGGTCTGGGCGATCACTTGCGACGGCAGGCCGCCGGAATTCTCGTGCTTCGTGGTGTCGAAGATGCAAACTCGCGACGTCTCGCCCTTGGCGGCGACGATGGTTGGGCATTGCGGCATGTAGCGAGCTCGATTGACCTGGCCTTCGTGCTTGATCCATTGAGTCATCTGGACCTAGGATGGGGCATTCCACATCGAATTTCAGCCTCATCGGACAAAGATCAAGAAACGCAAGAAAGACATGAAAGGAAGGAGGAGGGGGGCCTTACCCAGTTCTCAGGGATCTCGGCGTCAAGATCGGCTGGGACAGCGAGCTTGACGATGAGGACGCAATTCTCCAGACAATCTTCGGGATCATCCAGCGCCTTGATTCCAAGCAAGATCCTCTGATGATCAGGGAGCCACTGCGCCGACGTCACCGGCCAATCAAGAGCATGAGTGATGATCACATCGTAGAGATCTGGCGTGTGCTTCTTCCACAGATCGTAGTCGGCCGTCGGCGCCATAGCCGAGCTCTCTCCTCTCCGCGCCCTTTAGGGCTTAAGAGCAATTCAAATTATGGGTATATCCTAGGCTCTTTTACTGTGAACCGTCCGTCTCGGCACGCCCATCTAGACCGTTGCTTGCCTCGGATTTAGATTTTCGAATTTGACGGTGGTTCCCGGGCTTTGCAACCTCGATGTCTTGCGCGAGATGAACATCCGCTTCTTGATACGGCTCTTTTCCCTGTCGATCTTCCGCGCGCGCTTGAAAAATTCGCGAGCGACGTCGTTGTTCCCGAGCTCAAGCTCGATCAGGCCGGATTCCTGGGTCAGTGCCAGTTTTCTTTGTTAAAACAGAGAGATGGAGAATAGTCTATAGATTTTACTGACCATGAGCGATGGAGCATTGTGAGGATCAATTTTCCGAGCAGCTTGCAATAGTTTTCTCGAAGTCTCAATGTTCCCCTGGCTTTTTTCCAGGCGAGCGTATGCCTGTGATATGGTGACGACATGGTTTTCGAGCAAAAGAGGAAAAACAAATCGCCACGACTAACTTACTTGGAGACAGGGAACGCTTGAAGGATCGATCCGAAGCCCCTGTTCGTAGAGCACTCGAGCACCTTGGTGGTTCCCCGATCTCTCCTCCAAAAGACCCCACGACTGGCCAAAACAAAAGTCTCGTGAAGCCAGTGAAAAGAAATCTAGTGACAAACCTGCCAGGAATAAATATTCTCTGGAGAGATCTCCACACATCGTTGGTATAATTTTCTAGCCCGGTTCTTGGACTTGGTGGTGCCAATGAGCGCTTCTTGATGAGCCCATGCCTGTTTTGTATGGAAAGAAAATAAGAAGGAACCTTGGAACTAAAAACTTTGGTTCTACCTGGAGAGTGTATAGATCGTTGGTGTTGACGAGATAAGCACGGTAGAAGAGCTGCCTCATCTCTCGAAACTTGCGTTGGCTTGCCTCGAACAAGGCCCAAGCCTGCCAGCACTTTGCATCGTGTGAGTCCGCCTTGACAGCCAGCCGAAAGTTGGAGCGCGCCAAGGAATAGTTGTGAGCACGGGCTTCCATGAGAGCTCTCGACTGATGAACCACAGCGTTTCCGGGCTGAATCGCTGCCGCTCTTTGCAAGAGCTCTCGTGCCTGGCTCCAGTTTCCAACTTTATCTTCCACCAGAGCCCACGCGTGCAAGCCGTAAACGATGGCTCGCTCGGAGTGGTCTTGCAGCTGGCGAATGCACCTTGCTCAGTATAAAAAAAACTGGGAAAGAAGAAGACGAGTGCCTACCTTTTCAGCTGCGCGTATGGATTCCTCGAACAAAACTCGAGCTTTCAGCGAATTGGAAGCTCTGGCTTCGGAGGAGCCCCATCCTTGCAGTGTAAGCACGTAGTCGTAGTTGAGGTTGCCAGTTTCTTCGAAGATAGTTATTGCACGGGAGAACAATGATGCCGCAGCTGCTTGGTTACCTGGTTAAGTCGAAGGCTCACACCCAGCATGTAAAGCGGAAAAAAAAAAACGAACCTTTTCTCGCTTCAATGTATGCATACTCAACAAGAACTCTAGTGTGATTGGGAAACTTTGCATACAACTGCAGGAAAAAAAAAAAAGAAAAATAATTAAAAAACAAAGAAAAGAAGTAAAAATACAATACCTGCTGAATTGCCGAATGCGCTGCAACCAGACTTCCTCTTAAAGCTTGCTGTTTTATCCTTGAGACTTGCTCTAGTATTTGGGCCTCCTCAGCCTCACTGGGAACATAAACTTCTCGGCTACCGATGAGCTGCCTAATCTCTTGCAAGGACTCGGGCGACGATTCTTCCGAGCGTAAAGGCCGAGTTACAAGTCTCAAAGGCCTGCTCCGGTCTGCTTCATACGTGAAATCCTGCTCGTTAATTCCATCTCTTCCAGCAGAGAAGCGTACTTGGACTGCAATCCTTCGTTGCTTTTGTAAATGGCTGGGCCTCGAAATGAAGATGACATGACAAAGGCTGTGCTGCTGCTGCGTGAAGCTCCTTGGGCCCGGTTTGTCAGCTCCAATGCGATGCTCTACGCAAAGAAGAAGCTCCCTGACCTGAATCAAAGAAAATGTATTGGAGAGCGCTCTTGATACTAAAGAAGAGTATGCTAAAAGCTTGCCTGGACGAAGCCGCCAGTGTTTTTGGAGCCGCTGCTCAAATGACACAGTCCCATGGTCCTATACTTGTCGTTGGAGCTCCATGCCGAGACCCTACAGTGCTTCCATTAGGATAAGCAACAGATTAAACTTAGCTCCACGCACTTACCAGATGAGAAGCCAAGTGTAAAAGTAGCGACAGCAACATCTGGAAGACGAAGTTAGCTTAGCGTTACTCTTTGAGATGACCAATGCTGTTAGACAAAAGCACGTATGGAGCAGAAGCTTTCAAGCCCAGAGTAAACATGGAGCCTGCTGTTCTTGTGGCACGCTCGACATCGCCTTGGACATGGCAAGCACTGAGAAGAGCTTTGGAATCCGCCATGCCGCTCGAGAATGGCATGTTTTCTACGAGATCTTCGGCGTCTTCCAATTGTCCTGCTCGACTGAGAATGTCCACCATGCAGCAGTACTGCTCCCACCTCGGTGTTAAGTTGTGGTCTTCGACCATGGAGAGGAAAAAAACTCTGGCCTCGGCGACGAGACCACCGTAGCTGCACGCTACCAATGCATTGGTGAAGCCAACGTCCGTGGGTTTGCTTCCACCATCGAGCTCCATCTCGCGGAAGAACTCGAGCGCTTCGGCGTAATGGCCGTTTTGGGAGAGGACTGTCATGATCGCGTTCCAGGATATCGGGTTCTTCACTGGAGTGCTGTCAAAAACCAGTTTTGCGTTCTTGACATCGTTGCGCTGAGCGTATGCAACGATCAGAGTGTTCCAGGAGACCGTGTCTCTGTCCGACATGTCGTCGAAAAAGAGCTTCGATCGCTCCAAGTCACCCTCTCGAGCGTAAGCCGCCATCATCGTCTTCCTCGACACAAAGTCGTGCTGCGACATTCTCCGGTACGTAGACTCGGCACTCTCGAGGAGATTGTGAATGGCGTAAGCGTGAACCATGGCGTTCCACGACACAACGTCCCTCATGACCATGGAGTCAAAAATGGATTTCGACTCTTCGAGATTTCCTCCCTCGGCATTGGCGGAGAGAAGCATGTTGGTGGAAATCACGTCCACCTGAGGCGCTCGATCGAAAACCTTCTTTCCTTCCTCAAAGTGGCCGTTTAGAATGTAAGACTGCGTCATCGAGTTCCACGAGATGATGTTCCTGTGTGTCATGCTGTCGAAGATGGCCCTTGCGTCACTCAACCTCCCTTTCTCGGCGTACGCGATCAGCATCGAGTTCCACGTTGCCATGTCGTGCTTGGGCATCGCGTCAAAGATCTTTCTCGCTCGACCGACTTGGCCGTTCTGCGCCACGGCATTGATCAAAATGTTCCACGAAACAATGTCCTTTTCCTCCATTCGATCAAACATGCTGGCCGCAACGTCGAACTGAAAGTTTTGGAGGTAGCCTTGCATCATAACCAGCCACACCACTCGAGCATGGTGGGGCATCTTGCCAAAGAAGTTCTTGGCGGCCTGGAAATCGCCACACCGCATGAGAGCCGAGATGATGGTGGTCCAAGACGTGGAGTTCTTCTCAGGCATTGTGAGAAAAATCATCCTGGCCTCGTTCATATACCCGTTCTTGGCATGGAACCCAAACAGACTCGTCCACGACACGACGTCCGAGAAGGGCAGCCGATCAAAAACGGCCATCGCATCTTGCAAATACCCGTTTTGGGCATATGCAGTAAGAAGCACGTTCCAGCTCGAGATTGTTCTGGCCGGCATCTCCATGAATGTCTTTCGTGCATCGTCAACTTTCTCGTGCTCCCCAAAAATCTGCAGGATAGAGTTCCAGGCAACAACATCGCGCTGAGGCATCAAATCAAAAGACTGTGCTGCTTTCTCAAGTTGCCCGTTTCGGGCATATGCATGAAGCATGATTGTCCACGTAAACATGTTGATCCCGGGCATCTCATCGAAAATGCCGCGGGCGTCGTGGACACTGCCAACTTTCCCATACATCTCCACAAGCAAGTTCCAGAGGAAAGGATTCCCGGACGCTTGCTCGCTCCTGGCAATCACGGAATGGATGCGCTTCCCTTCGGCGGAATCCCTGGCTTCACCGCACGAGCGGATCATCTGGGCGAGCTCCTGGACATGGTGTGCCGAGAAGCAGCACAGCGATCGTGTCAACACCAATGCCGCGGCTGGAGATGATCCAGGCAGCGAAAATCTTCGCATAGAAAGAAATACCCAAAGTTGGAAATTTGCTAACAGTTTATTACACTTGTTTTTGTCAAGAAAGATCAAACAAATCGTTTATAGTGGCTGGTTTTTTCAGCCGTAGAGTGGGCCTTGAGCTGGGAGAGGTCCTGGCGATGGCAGTGGCGATCCCGGGTGGTGATGCTTGTGCTTGCAAATGTTGGTCTTCATGTGTACATCGTCGCCGCACTTCTTGGAGTGGAGGCAAGCGAGCTTTCCCTTGCAATCGTCGTGTTTCTTGCAAGAAGATCCACACACGCCGAGCTTACTGTTCTTGCAGATGGTAGTCTTGAGATCTGGATCGTCGGCGCACTTGTGGCCGTGCATGCAAGCCAGACGACCAAAGCAATCCTGGTGATGCTTGCACGAATCGCCGCAGTGTCCCAGCTTATGGGCAGTGACCTCCACCGAAGAGAAGGAGAAAACCAAGGCCATAGCGCACACCATCAAGACAACCATCACCGAGCGCTCCATCGATCGATCTAGCTATGTATCTAAGATCGACCAAGGAAGAAAGGAAGGAGAGAAGAACTTGGATGAAAGTATGGAGTGAGAGCTTCTTTTTTATAGTCGACGTGAAGACAATTAACTGGACGACACTGGCAAGGAAGATCACGAGCAAACATTTGGCGGCTTGCAAAGCTTGCATTGGCTGTCACATTTGTCTCGAGACCACGGTTCCATTTTGTCTACCTTTACCTTCTTCTTTTGTCTACTTTGTTCGAGCTCGATAAGAATGATCAAGCCTTGGTCTTCACAGCAACGGGGCTGGACACCGTATGCCGCCCATCCGTCCAAGCTATGGATCCAAACTGCCAGCTTTTACCGTTGGAGCTGCTCGAAACAGTGACTGTGAAGGAGAGCGTTGCTCCTGGGGAGAATGTGAGCGTGGTTGGCTCCACTTTCACGCTTAGCGTCGATGGTGTCTTGACTGTTACTTTGTAAGTCGAGGAGGAGGACGAAGAATCCACGCTCGTCAGGTACCTGGTGGTGGTCTGCGTGCCGCTCAAGCTCGGGAAGGCGATGGAAGGATAGTTGAGGTTGGAATTCTTCTTGGAGCAAGTCGTGTTCTTGCTTCCTGTGATCATCCTGACTTTGCTCTCACTGTAGCCAGTGGCACAGAGGTAAGCGACGTAGTCGGAGGGTGTTGTGTCGTAGACCAGTCCTGGACTTAGAGATCTCGAGGGATCGATCTGGCCGGCGCCATAACCAAATGGATTGCTCAGGCTTCCATCATAGTCGAGTATGCCTTCTTTCTCGTCGTCTTGAGTTGTCGCTGGAGGGTTCAAAGACTTGTATGAGAACTTTGGAGTGGTAGAAAGTTAAGTTACCTGTGGTCATGATCGCCGATCTTAGAGCCGCAGGACTCCAAGAGGGATAAGCAGACTTGAGCATGGCCAATGCTCCCGTGACGTGAGGACACGACATGGAGGTTCCAGAGATGATGTTATACTTGACATACACGGGCTTGGCCGTGTCGTAGTTCTCATAATATGCTGGAGCGATATCCGACCAGGCCGCAAGGATGTTCACTCCTGGAGCAGTAACATCGGGCTGCAAGAAAGATCATGATCTTGATCAAAACCTCGGAATTTGCAAGCTTGTACCTTGATTATATCCTGGCTGATGGAGTTTGGACCTCTCGAAGAGAATCCGGCAACTACTGGAGCTGGATTGTTAGTTTCTGCCACCGTCGGTGTTAGTGTAGCGACTGGCGTGGTGGTGCTGTTCATGTAGGATAGCAGCTGGTCTCCCACGGCTTTTTTCACGATGGTCGTAGGCAAGGGGAAGTAGCTAGCGAGATCTGCGTAGAAGTCGTTGATGAGAATGGCGCCAGCGGCCTTGTTCTGCTGCAACCATGTCACAATTGTTCTCCTGGAAGCGTAGTTGGGGTCGAACTGGCAGACGACGATCTTGTTCTTGACTTGCTTGGCATTTAGACTGGCTGGATCACAGGTGCTGAAAAGTAAGCTGTGAGCAACCATTGGAAAGAAAAGAAAAAGAGATTTTGAAGCACTTTCACCTGGCTTCTGAGGCCCGGATAGATTTGTTAGCAGGAATTGAAGAGCCAAGGACGAGGCTGTAAGGTGGTTTCTTCTGAGCTTGAAAGCTCAAGGCCGTTCCCTGCGTAGTAAAATGAGAAAGGTGACGCCAAAGTTTTTGCTCACCCGAAGAGTTTTTCCATCTCCGAGATAGATGTCGGACGAAATGGACCTGTCAATGGTGCTTGCTCCGACCGTGACAATCCAAGGGGCCGCGTTGGAGACGGACGATTCGTCGGGACCAGAATTCCCAGCAGAGCAAACGACAGTGATGTTGTGCTGGATGGCATGGAAGGCTCCAATCGCGATGCCATCCTCGTCGTAGCTCTCCGGCGAGCCACCAAGCGAAAGTGATAGGAGATCCACCCCGTCGTTCATAGCGTCATCAAAGGCCTTGAGGATGTCTGACACGAAGCAGCCGACGCTCCCACACACTTTATACACTGCGAGCCTGGCGGATGGGAGTCCACCCCTGGCTGTTCCACTGGCAACACCCTCCATGCTCGCGTTGGAGACGACGCTGCCACCCGCGGTGGATGCGGTGTGTGATCCGTGGCCTTCGTCATCTCTGGCGCTCTCGGCGTTGTAGAAGCGAGCTCCGATGATCTTGCTGCAGGAAAAAAAGATAATCTAGTACGGTACAGTTTTACTTGAACTTACTTGTTGCAATTCACGGCCTGCGTGGAATTCACACCGGTGTTATTGCAGAATCCTTTCCATCGGCTGGGAGGAGATGACATTCCATCGTCGCTGAAACTTGCAGACTCTGGCCATATACCTGAAGCAGGAAGAGGTATCAATTCCCAGGCTCTTCTTTCAACTCTTCAATCCATGTACCTGTGTCCAGCACGCCAACAATGACATCGGCCCCCTCTCCAACTTTGCCTCTTGAGTACAAGAGCCCCGTCGAAAAAGTTTCCAGGAATTTCCAGGACCGTGTTGTATGCAGCTGCAGAGTTTTGCTCGGGAACACACTGACCACGTCCGGCAGTCCTGTAATTATGACCAGAGCCAAGAGAATTGAATCATCCGGGAGAAGAGCTTTTTGCGATGGCTTGCCTGCTACGGCTTTTGCCTGCTTAGCGGTCATCCTAGCAGCAAATCCATCAAATCCATGCTTGTAGCTGTACACGATCTCAGGGGACTCTACTTCTCTGTCATGTAAGTTTTTAAAGTCAGTCCGGGCTATACTTTGGAGCACGATCACTTCTTGCCTGCTTGTGACAGATGCGAGAATCTTGCTGTGTCTTTGGACCAGCTCCAAACTCTGGCGACTGCCTTTTCCACCGAGATAGACGATATAGATCTGCAAAAAAAGAACAAGTCGTAAATATATGCAAAAGGATGCCAGTGGAAGTACCTGACGCTCGTCATCGATGCCTGCAGCCTTGTTCGACGAGAGGATGCTGAGAATTATGAACAAGAGGCCAGGCACAGCAGTGATGGCTGTCAAGGCCATTGTGGCTTCCTTCGCTTTGCAAGTTTGGATTTTGGATGGTCCCGTCCCGGTTTTATAGTGACCTCAGTGTAGAATGAGCAGGTCGAAGGCGCTACGGTATTCTCGCCGTGGGGTCGCACTTAGTCCAGTGTGGGAGCACTCGTTAGAATTGGTTGTCCACTGACGAGAAGAAATACTATTCTTCCCGTGCTTGTGCCCTCCGGAGCGTGAAAGAGACGGTGAGCAATCATCGTCGAGCGAGCGCTGCCTTTTCGGTTGAGACGGCAACTTCGCTGCCGCGCCAGTTTGGTCGCTTCGAAACACGCCACAGAAACTAAAACTTTGGGTGACGGACGGGAGAACTTGCATGTGGAGGTACGACTTTGGCCTCGCAGCAAGCATCTAGAAACTCTTCTTTGTTCGTGGCGTGTGCGGAGATTTGCTTCAACCCGGGGTCAAGTGCCAGTCGCGCAGAGCTTACTTGAATCCGAGAGACTTGCGTGGTCAAGTCAGGGTAGTCGCCTTGATCTTCTCCGCATTAGAATACATTTCTTAAGCAGCCACGTTGCTTCTTTCCTTCCCACTTTGTTACTTTAACATCACAGCTGCGCAGCGCACACTAGCGATGTGTGTGCCACAGCATGATAACACTCCCGAGCACGCAAAAATTCCTTTTTTTTCATTGCGGCTGCGCATTCAATCCATCTCCATCCATGAATTCCTTGCTCGCTCCACTTTCGCGATGCTTCCTTCCATCCTTGTCTCCATAATCCAGCAGCGTCTCAAGCGATCGAGTACATGTTGGAGATAAGCATGTAAGGAGCCGAGTTGGCCTGGCTGAGCTCGGATGACTCCTCGGCGGACCTGCTCGCAATCTCCTCGTCACCATGAAGTTTACAAGATGCCAGGAGTGTCGTCCACATCACGGAATCCGGGACGAATGGCATCGTCTCTATAAGCTCCCTCGCCAGACCAAGCTGTCCATTCTTTCCCAAGATTCCCACCATGCACGAGTAGTGCTCGAGAAGTGGACGCAGTCCACGATCGGATTGCATGGACAGGAAACACTCCCAAGCGCGTTTTATCACTCCGCTGTGGCAGCAAGCCGTCAGCACGCTGAGCAGTGTGACTTCGTCGGCTACCACGCGGCCATCGAGGTCCATCAACCTGGCTAGCTCGATTGCTTCTTTGTTATACCCGTTTTGGGCATAGCCAGCGATCATTGCATTCCAGGAAATGGAGTCGGCGAACTCGAGATTCGAAAAGAAGTGCCACGCAGAGCTCATGTGTCCGCTCTGAGCATAACCAGCGATCAAGGTGTTCCATGAAACCGTGTCTTTGTAAGGCATGAGATCGAACACCATGGCTGCGTCGACCATGAGAGCAGCACAAGCATAGGCCGAGAGCATGGCATTGCAAGAAACGAGACTGTGCCTCGCCATCTTGTCAAACACAGCCTTGGCCTCCCGGGGCTGTCTGTTGATGCCGTAAGCCTGGACCAACGCGTTCCAAGTCACCAGGTTCCTCTCTTGCATTGCGTGGAAGAGATCTCTCGCTTCCTTGCCCGATCGCCAGCACCTCTGCGCGTAGGCGGCGATCATCGAGTTGCAAGTGATCACGCTGCGCTGCGGGATTTTCTCAAACATCTCCTCCACCTTGTCCATCCGCCCGACAGACGCGTAGGCCGAGACGAGCGTGTTCCAGCTCACGACGTCGCGGAAGCTTCTCATCTCATCAAACACTTTTCTCGCGGCAGCAACATACCCTCCTTGGGCATACGCAAAAACCATGGTGTTCCACGACGCCAAGTCCCACTGTGGCATCCTCTCGAAAACAGAGCGGGCTTTTCCAGTTTTTGAAAAGTGTGCGAGAGCTGCCAACACCACGTTAAACGATACCACGTCTCGTTCTACAACGCCCAAGAACAGCTTTACTGCAGCAACCAGATGACCCCACTGGGCATTTGCTTGGATCATGGCATTGTAGCAAACAAGGCTGTGTTTGGGCATTGCTTCAAACAAAATCTTTGCGTAGTCAAGATGGCCATTCTGCGCGTTCAATATGAGTAGCACTGTCCACGATATAGGATCTTTCTCAGGCATAGAATTAAAGAGGCTTCTCGCATCGTCCAAATGCCCAGATTGGGCATATGCCTGAAGCATCGTGTTCCAGGTTACTGCGCTCGCCAGCGGCATCACGTCAAAGATCTTTCTGGCACCAGAGATCTTGCCAAATTGCGCAAGCGCAGCCACCATGCTCGTCCACGAAACCACATTCTTTTCAGGGAGATTCTTGAAGAGTTCCTGGAACTGGTCTGGACGATTGCTGTCGGCGTATCCCTTGATCATGGCGTTCCACGACACAATGTCTCGTTCCGGCATTCGATCGAAGACCCTCTCCGCCTCTTGGAGCTGCGCTGATTGGGAGTAGAGCCCGATCATCGTCGTGCACGACACCACATCGCGCTCCGGGACCTCTATGAAAGCTTTCGCTGCTTCCTCCACACGCCCTTCTTGGGCATACGCCTGGATCACCGCATTCCAAGAGATCGTCTCCATCGCCGGCATTCGATCGAGGATGGCTCTCGCCTCAACCGCGTCCCCGGCCTGCGCGTGGAAATTCATCATCGAATTCCATAGCACCACGTCCCTGTGCGGCATCTCGCGGAAGATCGCCGCTGCCCGGGCGAGATACCCGTTCTGGGCATACGCCGAGAGGATGAGCGTCCACGAGAAGAGATTAGGACGAGGGATCGCATCGAAGACCCACTGCGCCTCGTGCACGGAACCACACCGCCCATACATCTCCACCAGCAGATTGGCGAGATACCTGTCCGGTCCGAGATCCAACTCGCGGATCCGAGAGTGCGCTCGCCTGGCCGCGGAGAGATCTCGCGACTGCCCACACCCGCGCAAGACGAGCGCGATTCGATCGATAGAGGCGTCATTCCTGCGCATTCGAATGCGCAATCCCTAGCCGTTGGATGGGGGATCGAACGGTGGGCGCATCTGGGCTGTTGGATTTGTGGTTGGCTTTCTTCTTCTTCTTCTTCGTTCTAGGGTTTGTGTGGATGCATGCGCCATTGTCGAGGAAACAATGTCGCATTTCGGACGTGCCGGCCCGCCCGACATACGGGATACGTACTCGCTTCTCGTCCTCAACATCACATTCAGTAAGCTTGGATCGATCGATCGATCGATCGCTCCCTTTTCTCTTCCATGATCTCCAATTCGCGAGCGATGTAATGAAATGAAAATGTGGGACTGCAGGAACTACCGCCGATGATCTCTACCCTCTCTTCGATCGCTACGGCAAAGTTGTGGACATTTTCATCCCCAGAGATCGCAGGTTTGTAAGCTAGAGAGCAAAAAAATAAACCGTTTTTTTTTTGTTGTTTGGTTTTTTTCTTTGCTCTCTTTTGACAATCTTCCATTCTCTAGGTCTGGTGAGTCACGAGGATTCGCATTTGTACGCTACAAGCATGTGGATGAAGCACAAAAGGCGATCGATAGACTGGACGGTACATGCATTGCATTTTGTGCTGTTCTTTCTTGTTTTCCGTGAGCTCCAGTGACAAATGTGCGTTTTTTTCGCAGGTAAGAATCTGAACGGACGTAACATCATGGTTCAGTTTGCAAAATATGACAAGAACTCTGAATCAACGTAAGTCATGGTTGTGTGTTTAATTTTCCTAGCATCACGCAGGTATGACCATTGATGGAAGGCAGATTGCAGTACAGTTTGCAAAGTATGGTCGGAACGATGAAAAGATGTGAGTCTGTTTTGGGAGGGAGGCGACACGATCCACGATTTGATCTCTCAAAATGCAGGAGTCTTAGATGATTAGATTTTCTGCGTGGCTGCTTGTTTTTCTTCTTTCATTTCTTCGCGGATCGTGCTCAGAACGATGCGCTTGCTTCTGGCAGATGTTGTGGAAGAATAACAACGTCCATATACAGCAGGTCACGGAGTCGGAGCCCGAGACGACCAAGGTTGGCCATTTTATTACAGTTCATAGAAATGGTTGGCGGCAGCTGACGTGAATCTTTGCACAGTCGATACAGGGAAGAGTATGGACGAGGGAGGGATTATCGCGACAACTTCCGCGGAAGAGACAGATACGAGCGCGAACGAAGCCGGGACGATCACTTTTATGAGCACGATCGCATCAGAGACAGATACGAGCGTAGAGATAGGCACGAACGTGACTACAGGCATCAACATGAACGAAGCCGGGACTCACACGACGTTGGTCGGAGCAAAGAAAGATACGAGCGGGATCGCTTTGATGCCGAGGTTGGAAGAGGCGGCCGAAGTAGGAGCCGGAGCAGGGACCGCTATGCAGAAGATGATCATCGCGAGGAAAGAGGAAGGCCCGTCGAACGTACTAACTCGTCACCAGCACCACTAAGGTACGCGTGCATTGCGTCCTGATCTTTAGCACACGCTTTTTGAGGTTCTTTTCTCTCTTTCAGTCCTGCTCCAGCTCGGTTATCGAGTCCTGTCCGAGAAACAGCGTTGGGATCACCAAGGCCAGTGACGGCGGCGAACAGAGACGCAAGTCCTTTGGAGCAAGCAAGGTAAGAAACGTTTCCTTCTGGACACATTTCTCATCTACTTTGCAGGAAAAGCGAGCGGTCTCCAGTCCGAAGTTTGTCGCCAGAGAAAAGCTACTCCAATGGAAAGCGTGAAGGTTCTCCAGGACCAGTAAGTCCCGCTGGCATCGGCGTCGATATCCAGAGCCCCTACAACACCGACCCCGATGTAAGTAGATTCCATTTGTTAGCTTTCACCAAGTAGCAGAGTCTAAAAGTTGCGCTCTTTCGGTGCAGGAGTCATAATCTCGATGCCTACGAGACGCTGTCCTTCTAGTTGTGGTAGTCATTTAGTCGTCGGAATGACACTTTTGAAGGTTTGGACTGTAGTCTCGTGCTGCAGATTTGTGAGCTTGCATTTGTTTTTCTTTTCTTTCAGCATCTAATTTTGTGCTGGGTTTTAAATAGTCTGCTGGTGGCTGTGGTGGTGGGTTCCAAGGGGACTTTGGTGCTGCACGGTGGAAACCTGTGCTGTTTAGAATTACTGGTTGCATAGGTCTGTACACTTAAGTTGTTTCGTTTTTCTCTTTTTCTTCCTTTTGGTCTGGACTAACTGTTCCAGCACAAGTTGGTGTTTGCAGGACATTTGTTGCAGCATAGGTTTTCTTTGCACATAATGATGTAGTGGTGACATTGTCACTCGCTCCAAAACAAGCACTCCATATGCTCTTCTGTTGACCAATTTCTCAACTCAACTGGCGTAAGTTTAAATGGTGTTGTTCTGGATTCAAACATGTAAGTTAATGAGCTACAACTGGTTTAAATTTTTTTTCTGACTAATGGTCTTCTCCTTGAGGTTTGGATTCAAACACGTAATATAACAGTCCAAATGAAAGCATAAGATTGAAGCCAAGACGTCAAAAGAGGAGAGCTTTTATCTGAAACAAATTGAGGGCAATTGGGAAAATGATCCACTAGATATCAAAATAGTAAGTAGGAAGTTTTGGTAAGTTAAAAAGTTTATTTCAATCAACTCAGATTTATAAATCTCCTTGAGTGATATGATTTTATATTTTATGATTGCAAAGGCTACTCTATAATCTTTCAAATATAGATTTTTCTCATGGGGTGCCTAAAATGCTTTCATGCTCAATACATCCCATGCAAATGTCCTTAAAAACATGTAATAGTGATTAAGTTAGTTATTCTTTTATAACTTTATTTTGCCACACTTAAATTGTTTCCTTTTTGGTTTGCTTAGCGTAAATAAAATATGCTTGGATATTCTAGGATATTCTACTATCTAACGGTTGTTATTCATTTAGATTAATTTTGTTGTTTATAATTTATAAACTTTATTAAGCAATTCCTAGTATATTCTAGTTTATTCTTGATATTCAATAATATTAATCTTGTGTTTATAAATTATAAGCATGTTTATAATTATAAACTACCATATGATTAATTGGATTAATAAATAGAAATTACACTATATGAGTAGAATATGGAAATAGAATACAGAAATATGCATATCAATTAGCCCAAAAACCCCAGCTTATATACAGAAGTAAGTGGTTCAAATTAAAACCAATATCAAAATCCCACTATGTTAATATTACCATATGGCACTATAGCCATATATGTTGAGTTCATATCATCCCTTTCTCTTGGAATGATAGAACACAATTAGGGTTCTCTCATAGATGGATTAGGATTTAAAGGAATATCAAAAGGAGGCATCAGTGAATCTATAGATGGTGCCAATTGCTTTTGATCCCTTTATATAAAGTGTTTAAGATGTTAAACATGTATAATTTCTAGAGGATTGGCCTATTAAATGTCATGCCAAACCTTATAAATTTGGGATCCAATTTGCCACAATACTTCATACAGTCCCTTCCATTAAGCAAAGAGCATCTTAGACAAACCATATACCGTAAAATTAGGAAAATAAATTAAAATCCAAGTCATCCACTTTGTACTTCATAGGTGGACCATAATGGGAGTTATAGTGCTATTGTTATCCCACTTGTACATAACCTAGGTATTTAGTAAACTCTACTCGAACAAATGAAAGAATGCTCATCACATATTGATCAAAAAACTTAACATCAGTATTTCATGGCAATTGCAAAGGTAAACTTAACTCCATTGGTAGTATCGAATCATGACTATATAGAAATTTATATAGTAAAGCACTAATAGAACTTTACAGCTCTATGACATATGCATACTAAAGAGATGGTAAATAACTATCTTTATTTGAATGTTGAAAGTTTATATACTTCACGATCATCTCTTTGAAAGTCTGAATGAGTTATACCACCAAACTATTTGACTGTGGATAATAAACACTTGTGAAAGTGTTGTGTATCTCTAACCGAGATGTCAAAACATAAAATGCCTCAGCTATAAATGTAAGACTATTATCTAAAATAATTTATTCTAGACAACAATGCTGAAACACTACTCGATTGAGGAAGAAGTATCTAACAGCAGTTGCAAACACACTAGCAAAAACTTCAACTTCCATTTAAGCAAGATAAATAATCAAAAATAATAATGACATACTCATTGCTAATAGTTGACTATGGAAAAGGCCTTATCATATAAGACACCAATAACTCAAATAGAGGGGAAACTATAATTGACTCTAACCATCTTTCCATCACAAGAGGGATTATTAAGAGATTAGCACTAAATACAACTATGCATATACTAAATAACATCACATTGCATCTTTGGCTAATAAAAAGACTTGTGCAGGTTTTAAATCATATGAAGCTATCCCATATGCCCTCCTAAAATAGGAGAAATATGGTAGCCATGGAAAAAGTATGAAATAAATATTGAAGGCACCATTAGCTATAAATGATTATCAAGATCTATCCTCACAAAATAAAGAAAATTGTCCTCTACCCTAGAGGACAGCTCCTCTTCCTTTTCATAACCTGGGAATTTGGGGCAACATTTCGGAACACCGTAGCCTTATGCGAGCCTCATGGGTACTCTCCTCGCCTTCCGCCTTTGGGTGCTCTAGCCATGGGCTTAGAGCAAGGTTCTGTTGGGCCACGCTAGGTATCCAAATAGGCAATGCTACCCACACTTGGACTGGGAGCATCAACCATTCGATCTCCCGGGGGAACTAGAGTCGGCTCTTGAACACTTCACCAAGGTACCCCACTTGTCGGTCCATATTCACTCTAATCTTGGATTGCCTAGTGGATATCTCATCACCCAACACTTGGGCACAGCCTTCTTGGGCCAAATTGGTCTTTCCTGGCCAAACTGGCTCCACTGGAGTCCTCCCCCTACTATACTTTTGGAGCTCACCAAACCCCCTAGGGTCTAGAAGATGAACACTTTGGGCTTTCACCCTCTCTGACTTGAACTCGGACTTGGTCTCGGCTTCAGGCTCGGTCTCAGCCTCAGTCTCGGTCACGGTTTCGGTCCCGGTCTTGGTCTCGGTCCCGGTCCCAGTCTCGGTCTCGGTCTCGTCTTCGGACTCCATCTCGAGTCCTTCTCGAACACCATCTTAGTCCATCTCGGACTCCATCTTGGATTCCATCTCAGACTCCATCTCGGGTCCATCTTGGGTCCATCTCGGACTCCATCTCAGACTCTTCCACATGTCATGTGTTGGTCCTTTTGTGTCCCTTTTCTAAAGACTCACTTATTGCTCACTTTGTGCTTGTTCCTTGAGCATTTCACTCGGTCTCGGTCTCGTCTTCGGACTCCATCTCGAGTCCTTCTCGAACACCATCTTAGTCCATCTCGGACTCCATCTTGGATTCCATCTCAGACTCCATCTCGGGTCCATCTTGGGTCCATCTCGGACTCCATCTCGGACTCTTCCACATGTCATGTGTTGGTCCTTTTGTGTCCCTTTTCTAGAGACTCACTTATTGCTCACTTTGTGCTTGTTCCTTGAGCATTTCATTGGGAGTTCCACTGTAGCATTGACTATTGACTAGCAACCCCTACTGAGCTAAGGGTCCATCTTGGGTCCATCTCGGACTCCATCTCGGACTCTTCCACTAGTCATGTGTTGGTCCTTTTGTGTCCCTTTTCTAGAGACTCACTTATTGCTCACTTTGTGCTTGTTCCTTGAGCATTTCATTGGGAGTTCCACTGTAGCATTGACTATTGACTAGCAACCCCTACTGAGCTAAGGGGAACCAGCACCTCCATTTCCACACTCAATCTACCAATCCTTCTATTGTGTAGACTAGCCTTCTATTGTGTAGACTAGTTATTCGATGTGAGGCAACTAGTCATCCACCCGTACCACAGTCCCACGGTGGATACCTTCGTCCGTGGATACTCCATACAAGAGGAAGGACGTACGCATGGATGCCCAATACATACGATTTCAAATTTAGGGGTAGGAATATACCTTGCTCAAGGGTATATTATACTTTTAAGTAGCCACTAATCAATGGGAATCGAACCCGTGCCATTTTCTCTGATACCAACTATAGTGCACCTTATCTCTCTCCCCTTAAGCCAACTGGAAAAGGGGCAATTGCTTGATGAGAGAGCCTTTAGTGGCTATTTTATCCCCATTTATCCCCCAAAGTTCCAAGGATTCACGGTGACAGTATATCCAAATCTCATCCCATGATCACATGTGCTACAGTTCCACTCCGCTTTCGACCTTTTAAGTCGGAGCTTTTAGTCTAAATGTGTTACGTTCGTTTGGCATTCGCTTCAGCCACTACCACATGGCACTCTTTCGGCTCCACTTTGGGGCTTAGGGATTTGTGTCTCACAACTATTTTGCCCACGAAGTGTTGTACATCGTTCACATACTTTAGAGTATAAAACTTTAAAACATCCGCAAGTTTGTCAGGATCATTTTGTAAACTCTCACGAGAAATATGGTACCCAAGATAAGTCATGTCTTTAGACCTAAACAAGCACTTTGACTGTTTTAGTTTTAAACTAACTTTTGGTAGCCAATCTAGCACCTTACGAACAGCATAAATGTGTTCCTCCTATGTCCCTTATTAGTGGATGAAGACATCATTAATGAAGTTAGTAATCACTTCTGGCATATCATAAAGAACATTGTTCATCATCTGTTAAAAGGTTGTTGAAGCATTTTTCAAACCAAATGGCATCATTAAGAATTCATACAAACGAAACGGTGTAGGAAAATAGTCTTAGGGATCTCTTTCTTGGCCATTGACACTTACTAGTACTCAAAAACAAAATCTAACTTGGTGAACTAATAACTTCCCCCTAAACAATTTAAAAAATCAACAGTGTGAGGAAGAGGGTACACATCCGGGATTGTTACTTCGTTTAATAGATAATAGTTAATGCAAAAATGAATACTCTCATTAGGCTTTGTCATAAGATGAAGTTCACACGCCCAAAGACTTTGTAATTTATGAATAACACCCTTTTCCAATATCTCCTTGATGTTTACATGTAAAATCTTCATTTCTTTTGGTGACCGATGATGAACATGAACCTTGATTGGATAAGTATCCCCAATGGGAATATGATAACGTGCTGCTATTTTGGCTCCAAATGTCAAGTCAAATTCAAAGAGATTGATATACTCCTTCATAAGCCGATCAACCACTACAACACAAAAACCATCAGAGGGATTTAAAGAGGGAATAGAACAAGAAAAAAACATAGGAAAAAGTAACAGGGAGACAAAAGTGATGCAAGCAAAGGTGGATGAAGAGGGATATAAATATAACTTTGAGGCTTCTCCCTATTGTCTCATACTTTTTTATATTTCTTTTATTTCTCACTCTAGAAAGATGCTTTGACTG